TTACAAAAGTGACCAAGTTTTGAAGTGTCCTTTTCATACCCTAGCTTACAAGTTAGAGTGTCAAGAAAAGGCAGGTCTGGCTGATGTATTGATACATCCTGAAATAGGTAAAGTCACAACAAACCCTGTTGAAGCTTCGCACAATGTGCTTGTTAGGTATAGGTCCAAAAATTGGAACCTTGCACGTCTTCACTACCACGTTTCTACCAACATAGGTCTCATTCAAGGTTGCATGACCTATCTTTTCACAAAACGTGGTCCTCAGTACCACTGGATTCTTGACATCCTTGAGCGGATGTGCCTTCCTGTTGTTCAGAATCTTCCATCTATCTTGGAGAAGCTGAATGCAAATAGATTTTTTGATATAAAAAGCAAGAAGACCAATGTTGCTAAAGCAAGGAGGAAGCTATATAAGAGAAAGCGTAAAGTCTTTGAACATCAACGCAGGCAATTGTTTGTAAAAGAGAGTGCAATGAATCACGATTATGGAAGGGATGCATCTACTGAAGAAGTAATTGCAGATGCCTCGACTGACAAATGCAAATGTGGCTCAACAGACCACAGAAGGACGTCCCACAAGAGTTGTCCACTGAGGAGAACCTGTGATACTGCTACTGGAATTGATACCTCCTGTGACATCAATGCATCCAAAAGTGATGACAATGTATCTGAATTTGACGATGATTGTTATGACTTTGAATGTTCCCTAAGTGATGAAACGATTGTTGAATCCTGTGCATGTCCCAATTTTCCATGTCACAAATGGGATTGCCCTGATAATGTAAGAAATAGGAAAAGGGCTATGGACAGCTCACTCACTCCTGGTGCCTTGTGGACACCGCCACTTAAGAAAATGGGTCTGAATTCACCGAAAGTCCCTTCTCCATTAGTTTTATCAAAAATTAAAGACCAAAGTACCCCTGCTCTTGGAAGTGTTATTGTCCCATGCAATGCATCAACTGCTGAAAAAGGAGGCTCTGCTACTGTATCCACTCCATCTTTTATCCTTGGTAAAACGTTGGAGATGTCTGTATAAAAATGCTGTTCGCCATCCAATACTCTTGTTCTACCACAAATTCCACGGCAAAGTACTCCTGTGGTGCACATTTCACACACTGTATCAACTGTTCATAAAGTAGGCTCTCACTCCACATGTACTCCAACTTCTGTGGACAACATGCCGGAGGTACATGTATCTTTAAGCAAGTGCCCTTCACCGTCAATGACCCCAGGCCCATCAAAATTGAATAAGCAAAGTTCCCATTTAGCAGTGGCTAAAACAGTGGGTTCTCCTTCTGTACATACTCCAATTTTGTTGCAGAATAAAAAGTGGGATTCCTCAGTACCGCTGACCTCTGTTCCATCCAAAAGTACTCCAACATCTATCCACAAGATGCGGGAGGTACAGATATCTTTAAGTAAGTGCCCTTCACCATCAATGACACCAAGTCCATCGAAATTAAAAGAGCAAAGTTTCCATTTAGCAGTGGCTGAAGAAGTAGGTTCTCCTTCTGTATGCACTCCAAGTTTGTTTGAAAATAAGAAGTTGGAGCTCTCTGTACCAAGGTGCTTGCTGACCCCTTTTACATTCAAAATGAAAGACCACAGAACGACTGGTGTTGATAGTGTAACTGTTCCTCACAATGACTTTGTGGGTCGAAAAGTAGAGACAAAATCATTTCACAGTCTTGAATCAGACTGTTTAATTGATGAAGAAAAGACCAAGGGTGCTTTAAAGGTTTTGCATGAAATGTTACCACCTCCTTCTACAAATAGAGATTGGGTACAGAAAGCAGTTGCAATTATATCAAAGCTCTCTGGTATCGCAGTTGTTCAACGTGTTGATGCTGTCAAACAGGTTCCTTGCAGAGAAATAGCTCCTCATATTCGGGATAAGATTGTCGGTGATGGGGCATGTTTCTATAGGACAATTTCAAAAGCCATTACTGGTACTGAAGATAATCATTTTGCAGTCCGTATGTCCTTAATTAACTTCATGCTTGACCCTGCCAATGTTCTTGCCTTTGGTAGACTCGTTCGTTCAGGAATTTATTACGATATTGATGCATTAAAAGCAGTGAGGAGTCACATAAACAGACATAAACTCTATTTAGAAACCTCATGGTCATCTGAATATGAGGTATTTGCAGCTGCCACAATGTTTCAAGTTAAGATTATGGTATTTTCAGAATATTCCAATTACCGTGATTGGCATACTTATGTGCCTCGGTTCACTAACGAAACTTGTATGACACCCATGAAAGTCATGTTGTATCTGTACCACATTAATTGTAATCACTATGATTTAGTAATACCTGTACTTGATTAAAAGCAGTGTAATGACATTTTAGCCTTGCTATTTTAGAGTGAAATTGTTTAGTTTAGTTTTCTTTAGCTTAATACAAAATGGTAAGATCTTTGTCTTTGATGTTATAAAGAATTTTATACCATGTCTTCTATTTTCGTTAATATAGTGCAATTACTACTTAAGATATTTTAGTTTCATTATTTGTGGTTAAAGTACAACTGCATTTTGTTTGTTTGTAATTACTCATTGTATGCTTATCATATTTTGCCACTTGAGTATGAGAATACTCCCTCTCACTCTCTGTTGTAGACAAACTGTCCACATTTGTGACATTTGCCTAAACCTTTGCAGCACATTATGCTAATGGCAGTTTGTGAGAAATGTTTTAATTAAAACACACAATACTAACTATACAAACTGGTCATGTACCACATGACATGTAATGACATTATGACAGTTGAATACAGGGTGACTTTAACTATTTGGTGCTGTACCACATATTGGGTGGCAGCTTATTAAAGTTCTAAGAGTGATGAAAGTCACTAGATCTTTATGCTCAATTGCTGTGACACGCTTTGGGTGGCAGCTGTTGATATATTTCACAGAGTGGTTCAAAAACTCTGAATGTAGCTACATGCCGTACCACGCTTTGGGTAGCGGTTGTTGTTGCATTATACAGAGTGTTACATTGTAGTAGTGAAATCATGTAAGTAGTACCACATGTTGTGTGGCAGCTTTTGTGTCATATTGACAGTCACTAGTAGTGAAGCAACATGCCATGCCATGCTTCGTGATGGTGGCTGTTGTGTTGTACAGGGAATATAGTGAAATAAACTGCATGCTAAACCACACATAAAAACTAGCATGCCAAGTGTTTTGAACTGTATGTGGCAAATGAGAGAGAGAGTTACTGCTATAATGTGCTGCTTAGGTAAAATTGCAGAGTTGTGAGTTTTTTGACCTGGAGTGTGAGACTACCTCCTCGTGGTCCAGGTTGGGATTTATTGTATGATATGCAGTGTATTGTACAATAAATGCAAATTGTCTCACTTTTAAAGTCCAAAAATATGTTGAATAGATAGTCTTCATTTTTCATTTAGGGAGTGTTGTGAAGAATAGTAATTGGTGCTGTATGCAACAAAGTATTTGATTTATCATTGGTAGTATTGTACTTCTGCCTAACAAAAAAAACCTGCTTGTTTTTGTCTTCTGTTGGTTGCATTTGTAATGTGCATCTATATTCTGTAGTGTTATATTTTAGTGTTGTTTGACTTGTAGCACATCTTTTGGGAAGTCTTATTTTTTAAATGTTTTACCTAATGGCACCTTCTGCTATAAAAGTTTCTTCCTTATACTCTGGGGTACATCCACATGCTGTTGCACTTGAGTATGTGAGAAAAAATTGCAAGTTGTAAAATTCGTTTAACTGGTTTTGGGACATTGTAACAGTGCTTTTGTCTGAAGACTATAATGTACATGCATAGATTAACTGTTTTGCATTTTATTGATATACATAACTAGGTGTGACACTTACATTACATTTTCTTTCTGCTATAGTTTGAAGAATTGGTTAATAGGACTAAAAGCAAATCATTGTACACTTTTTCTAGCTACAAAAACTGTTGCAGAACAAGTTATGTGTGTACTACTATGAAGCTGTAGTTTACAGCAATGGAGCATATATACCGGTTAAGGAAAGGGAAAACACTCACCATCTCAGTCTATTTGTGCTTTATAAAGTAAGAGTCTCCTTTTTTATTGCAAAGCAAACTTTCTCTCCTCAGTTAACTTTTCCATTATGAGAAATGGAGGCCTTGTCACTATTTTCATGTATGTTTACTAGAGGGACAGAGCAGTTTTCTGAAAAGTTTGTAAATGTGTGCCTATAATTACACTCACAGTTTACATGTATTATCATGCCATCCTTCTTGTTGTTATATTCTTCAGGTGGTATCGTTTGCCGGATACATTTGGTAGCTCATACTATAAGGATACTTTGTCCTAGTGGGTGTGGAAGTGAAATTAGTTTTGAGGGTTCTATATGCTTTATTTATTGTAACAACTCAAGATCTTTGAATATACTCAACCTAGACATAGTAAGGAAGTAAGCAATGCAATCAATAATTTTCTTTGTTATAGATTTTTACTTGCAAAATTATCGTTGTTGTTCATTGATGATTAAAATCTATTACTGGAAGTATTTGTAAACTTTAGACTTTGTGATAACTTCTTATACATGAAAGTGATGAATATGAGAAAGGCATGCACAATACATTTTTTTGAACTTTTTGGGTGAATTTCTTTACAATTATGAGAGGAACTTTAAGTTGCATAATGAATTATGTATGTACCTATCATTCAATGTATTTGTCCCTTGCTCTTGCAGTTAGCCAAATTAATTACATGAAAAGTAAAGCAAGTAATTCTATTTTAATGTAGAATACCTCTCAAAATATACAGATTTGGTGAGTCTTGCAAGACACTATATAATTGTTTATTGTTTTGCATGTTGTATAGTTTTGATTCTTTCAATGCTCTTTTTAAGTTTAAGTTATAGACATTTATTAGATGCATGTATGCTTCCTATTATGCCAAGCTTGTAAAGTACCTGTCCTGTAAAATTTTTTTTGCACACACACTTGTCTATGAGTTTTGTCTTTAATGTTAGGATAAATGATAGTTAGAAAAATAATAAACTACTATTTCTGTTGTTTTATGTAGTCTTATTCACTCAATATCTAGAAATTTGCTTACTAAAGTGAATAGTTGCATCAAATTAAATAATGATAATAATATTCTATACTTGTACATTATTCGTCCATATTGTCTATTTTTTATGACTGCTCTGCTCTCTTTTTTTGTTTTTTCAAATCTTTTTTGCTCTTTTATCTGGATATGTCTGATAATAGTGCATGATTCCCTTAAAATGTGAAAAATCTTAATTTGAAAACAGTGTTCTTACCTTAAGCTGGAGATTTGTAAGAATGAAATGGGATATATTGATGATGTCATTTTAAGTCAATTTTAAGTCATTTTAAGTACTGTTAGGACAATGAAGTTATATCAAAGTCATATTGTTACATGTACATATGTGTAGGCATGTCTTGGTTAGTTATACCATAGTCATTATGTTACATGTAGGCATGTCTTTTGCTCTTAGCATGCTGGTTAGCTGCTTTAGTTGTAGTTATTTTTTGTTAAAAATCTAATGTATACTTATGTGCCTTCCTGGTCCACTCTGTTGGTCTAATTTGTAGTGTACAGGCATTGAGAACTTGTTTACAATAATAATGAATTAACAACAATAAATATTGTTGAAAATTAAAATTATAAACACTTTATTATTACAACCTCATGGAAAAATACAGTAGCTTAAAAACAAAAGTTTGTAGAGCTAGTCAACTTTGTAGAAGTTGTACTCACAACCAAG